TTTGTCTTTCATATTTGAGTGTTTAATCCAGCTTGGATTTATTATTTATATAGTTCCAATTTCTCCTTGTTCCATATGATCTCCCAATTATTCCAGCACTATTTATTAAAATGCCTGTCCTTACCCACCAATCTGCGATACCCACTCTTCCATATATCGAATGCCTTTAAATGTACATTTCTGCTTCTGGGCTGTACTCTATTTCAGTTATCCATTTGTCTATTCCTGTGCCAATATCATAGTGTCTTTTACATTAGCTTTATAATATAGCAACAATTGATAGTGCAAATCCTTCTTTTTCAAGAATACCTTGACTGTATTTGGCCCTTTGCATTTCTGAATAACTTTTAAATCAGCTCATCAAAGTCAACAAAAAATATGTTGGAATTCTGACTGGTAGAGCATTGAATCTATAAATTTTTTTAACATCAAGTCTTCAATCAATGAATGTGGAATATCTCTCCACTCAGATTTTCCTAGACATATCTCAGGAATGTTTTAATAATTTTCCCATAGCTGTCATATATATCTTTTGTTGGATTTATTCTGAGGAATGTCATGCTTTTAATGCTATTCTAAATAGCATCCTTCTAAAATTTCATTTTCTATTTGATGCTAAAGTATAAAATTTATCATTTTGAATTTTAATATTAATGTTTACATCTAGTAACATTGTAAATTTTCTTATTATTGCAAATACTGTATCTATAAACTTTAAAAATTTTTCTAGATATACGATGTAATCGACTTTTAAAAACACTTATTTCTTTTTTTTTTTCAAGTTTTCCAATGCTTATACTTATTACTACTTTTCTTTTTATGTACTGTGCTGGATAGTATCCCTGGTACAACACTGACTATGTCACTAGTTTTCATTGATTCTATGCTAGTCTTTTTTATGCTGAAAACTTCCTAAAACAAAGAGTGTGTATATTTACTAATCTCTATATCGACAAAAGCCCTGTTAAAACTCAACAAATATTTGTTGAAAGAGTAAAGCTATTAATTAATTTTAATTTTAAATGTTTTGCACGACAAGAATAACATTGTAAAGAAATCTGATGATTCAGCTAGGAATATGTTCCACTGAAAGAAACAGAAAACCTAACAAAAGTGGCTTACACAATATGGATGTTGTTTATTATATCATTCAACAAGAAAATGAAAGATAAGTATCTGTTGGCATTGGTTCAGTAGCAGAAGGATGGTAGGCCAGATAAATCTCCTATTTTTATGCCTTTCCATTATGGTCACAAGATGACTGCTGCAGCTCTGGGCATGACATCCTAGTGTAATAAAAGCAGGAAGAAACAGAGAAGGGGCAGCTAAGTCTGTCTTTTTGTGAGAAAGGCAGCTACTTTTCTAGATGTAACCAAAACTGCTTCACCTTAGTTTTCATTGACAGAAACTAGCTGATATAGCTCTCTCAGGGAGCAATTAAGTGTGGGAGCAAAACACATGACCGTTGAAATTAATTTCAACTTATCACCTGAGACAGGTATCACTGCTGCTTCATCGTGGTACTCTTATCAAGATAGACAGGCTAGCAGATGTAAGTGCCCACCACATGTGATACACAGTTTTTCCTACTGCTTTCTTAATTTCATCCTTAGAGAATACAATTAGAAATAAGCTGCTATTGTGTGTAGAGGGAAATTTATAGCATTAAATGCCCACAAGAGAAAGCAGGAAAGATCTAAAATTGACACTCTAACATCACAATTAAAAGAACTAGAGAAGCAAGAGCAAACACATTAGAAAGCTAGCAGAAGGCAACAAATAACTAAGATCAGAGCAGAACTGAAGGAGATAGAGATACAAAAAACCCTTCAAAAAATCAGTGAATCCAGGAGTTGGTTTTTTGAAAAGATCAACAAAATTGATAGACTGCTGGCAAGACTAATGACGAAAAGAGAGAAGAATCAAATAGACGCAATAAAAAATGATAAAGGGAATATCACCACCGACCCCATAGAAATACAAACTACCATCAGAGAATACTATAAACACCTCTATGCAAATAAACTAGAAAACTCAGAAGAAATGGATAATTTCCTGGACACTTACACCCTCAAGACTAAACCAGGAAGAAGCTGAATCCTGGAATAGACCAATAGCAGGCTCGGAAATCGAGGCAATAATTAATAGCCTACCAACGAAAAAAAGTCCAGGACCAGATGGATTCACAGC